GAAATCTTCAATAATTGTTGTTGATTGCAGATGTGTCTAGTAGTTCCCATTGATTATGCTTGAATGGCATTAGGTTAAACCACACCGTGACGTCACTGCCTGAAGATTTCAGGAGTGAGGTGTTAAGGCCAATTTATGCTTCTGACGCATAGCCTCTGCAACCGTCAAATCTGTCTCTGTGCGCGACCACGCCACCTGCCCAGAGGTTCTGCAACCGTCGTCACGTACATCAAAAAAATCCTGACTACGCGTCGGACGGTCGCAAACCCACTCAGACCTCAAGCGGAAGTGCGCAGACAAAAAGCAGCTGTGATTGGTCCTTGGTATGCCTTTCCCGGCTGTTTGTGGTCGTCCTTCTTGATTCGGTGCCGGGGCGCGCCATTTTTAAAAACCGGGGAACAACTACAATGGACAACTATAATGAAAGGTTAATCCGTGTTTTTGCAAACTCCATTAACAGAACCTGTTCCTCTTCGATGTCTAGCAACTCTAAATCCATCTCTGTGACCGTGATATCTTGCAGAGGCGCCACTGTTGTTTTGGAAGATAAACGCGACCATCCGCTTAAGTTCTTGCGAGTTCTCCAATAGTACCCCCCCTGCGCTTTGGCGGGAAACAGCTGTGTGTCCCTAGAAATTCTAGACCGACGATGCAGAGGCATACCACCAAAACTGGTTCGCGACCAGAAACAAGCGACATTTGATGTGTGCGGCTGCAGAAGTATAATCGGCCCTTTACTATATTTGAGCAAAAATGGCCAGCCCCGGACTCCGTGATCGCAACAAAGGCTATTTTAATTTTTTTACAGATTAACGCTCAATTCATTAAATCATCAGAAACATATTAGTTTTAGGTATAGATAACGATCCTTTGATCATTCCTTATTGACCGGACTTTTCCTTTAACTGATAAATCTTCCCCAAAATTGTCCTACAGGAGCATTTTGATGACAGGGTTAGCAAAGCAAAGAGGGCAATACCTTGTACTGACTCAGGGGGTATTTCTCCAGCAGATACTCATCACAGCCACAGACTTTGAGGATGTACTTCCCCTGGTACTCCTGGACGCACATCTTTAGCTGCTCCTGGGTTAGCAGCATGCTCCGCGTCTTCTTACGGATGGCTTCGGCTATCACCTGCTCCGGCACACAGTCGTGGTTGATCTTCAGGGTGTACTTCTGTTTGTCATTGCTGGGTGAAACGATGACCCAAATCACCACAATGATCTGACCTGAAAAACAAAAACAAAAGCTGTTTTATAAACACAGAGGAAGTGAGAAAAGAAATTACCTCAGTGCTTCCTTCTAAGGCTGAAAATGGTTTTTAAAAACATAAAGACCACAAAACCAAGAGGAACTTTAAGTATTTTCAGAGGAAATGAAAAAAAGTTTTTTTTAAAAGATTGAACAGTTTAAGATTCCAAGAAGCTCAATTAATCAGCTCATGACAGATATTTTCAGCCTCCATTTGCGGCTCATGTGTGGAAATTCTTGCTGAGTGAAGAAAAACCCCTGGTTCCCCTCCTGCAGAGTCAGTGAGGAGTTTAAAATAAAGATTTAAAAAGATTTTTATTGTCAGCTGGATTTGTTCAGTCTGTCAGAGTGCGAGAGAGAGCTGGACTTTCAGCAGATAACAGGAAGGCTGAACAGATAACAGCAAAGACACCAAACTATTTCCTTCTGAACTTCAACCTTTGGCCAGTCATGTGACACACCGAAGTTGGAAATGTTTCTTCAGTCCTGTTAGCCATGCTGAGCTCATGCTAAACACACCAATAACCGATTCAGGATGATAAAACTGGTCGAAAACATCAACTCTATACAGACGTTTGTTCTAATCTTTGATGAAATGATAATCATAATCATTGTGATGTGATCCCGGAGGTAAATGGACGGCCACACCATACCATGAGATATACTTAAACATGGACCATGAAATAAGTAGATGTAACAGCAATATATAGATTCATCTAATAAATCATGTTAACACTAAATACACCAATAACTTTTTAAAAATGAACCATTAAATAGTTACACTATCATTCAAAAGTTTGGGGTCACATTGAAATGTCCTTATTTTTGAAGGAAAAAGCACTGTACTTTTCAATGAAGATAACTTTTAAACTAGTCTTAACTTTAAAGAAATACACTCTATACATTGCTAATGTGGTAAATGACTATTCTAGCTGCTCTGGTTTTTGGTGCAATATCTACATAGGTGTATAGAGGCCCATTTCCAGCAACTATCACTCCAGTGTTCTAATGGTACAATGTGTTTGCTCATTGGCTCAGAAGGCTAATTGATGATTAGAAAACCCTTGGCCAATCATGTTGACACATCTGGAAACAGTTTAGCTCGTTACAGAAGCTACAAAGCTGACCTTCCTTTGAGCAGATTAAGTTTCTGGAGCATAACATTTGTGGGGTCAATTAAACGCTCAAAATGGCCAGAAAAAGAGAACTTTCATCTGAAACTGAACAGTCTATTCTTGTTCTTAGAAATGAAGGCTATTCCATGCGAGAAATTGCTAAGAAATTGAAGACTTCCTACAACGGTGTGTACTACTCCCTTCAGAGGACAGCACAAACAGGCTCTAACCAGAGTAGAAAAAGAAGTGGGAGGCCGCGTTGCACAACTGAGCAAGAAGATAAGTACATTAGAGTCTCTAGTTTGAGAAACAGACGCCTCACAGGTCCCCAACTGGCATCTTCATTAAATAGTACCTGCAGTAGCCTGTTTCTGCTGTCCTCTGAAGGGAGTAGTACACATCGTTGTAGGAAATCTTCAATTTCTTAGCAATTTCTCGCATGGAATAGCCTTCATTTCAAAGAACAAGAATAGACTGTTGAGTTTCAGATGAAAGTTCTCTTTTTCAGGCCATTTTGAGCGTTTAATTGACCCCACAAATGTGATGCTCCAGAAACTCAATCTGCTCAAAGGAAGGTCAGTTTTGTAGCTTCTGTAACGAGTTAAACTGTTTTCAGATGTGTCAACATGATTGCACAACATGACAAAGCCAGAAAGAGGGGACAAATTTGTAACCAGATTCTCGAGGTTACGATGAGCAATCAGTGTCGTAACTCGGGTAGAGGCTCTTACCTTTATCGAGTTTATTATAGATGTGCCTGGGAAGTTCTGCAGAGGATTCTACGTTAGGAGGGTAGACGTACAACGCTCTGCTGTGGGATCCGTTGCTGTCTCTGAGGTCCACTGCTTCTTTGCAAACATTTAAAATGTTTCTCCTAAAGTCCTGTACTTCTGAGTCCTTCACCAAATCAAACTCGCATATGGGCATCCCAATAGCAAAACCTGAAAACGAAGAGAGAAGAAAAGGTATAAAGGGATGTCACACAGGATATGGCCAGCTTTAACCATGAGCTCAGAGGAATACCGATTTCTCTGTTCAGGATTTTCTCCTCTCTGTTGCCCACTGGTTCGATAACTTTGAGGAAAGCTTGAAACAGTCTGAGATCGCAGAGCCTCCTGGTCTCGTCATAAAACTCCTCCCGCTCGGCCTCCTGCGTGACGCTGACGAAGATGTACGAGCTCTCCTCCTGCAGCAGATGGTAGAGAGGGTACTTCCTGGCTTCTTTGAAGAGCTCATGCTTGACCGTGACGAGCGTCGCTTCCCGGAGGCACTCCAATGTGAGAATCATGCCATTTGGCAGCAAGCAGTCCACTAAGATGCTGGGGGGCATCAAGTGCATCCCCCATAGTTCTCCTGAAGAGGGCCTGGGAGGCATGGCTGTCGCAGCGAATCCTACCTGGTGCTTTCCAGATGCGTGATATCAGCCGACTGTGAGGAAGAAGGAAACAGAATTATGCAACAAGCTGTTGCTGTAGTGGAAATAAATGATAGAAAACACTTCAAGTGAATATCTGAGTTAGATGTTTCTGATTCTTTAATATCAGGAAGCCTTCAGTTGATCCAAAACGTTGCAGCGAGAGTTCTGATGAAAATTTTAAATAGAGATCTCATTTCTCATATTTTAGCTTCCCTTCATTGGCTTCCTGTTAAACAGAAATCAAAATCCTTCTTCTCAAAATGGCCAAATAAAAACAAAAAAAAGGACTAATTGCTTGGAGAAAAGCATAATTCGGTCAAAGAAGAGTTCCTGGCTGTTGTTTTGCCCTCTTGCTTCATTCGAAGCATAAACGAGCGTCTGCCGGGAAAGGTGTCTGCATAAAATGATCCAGGAATCTTTGCTCCGAATTCAAGAGATTCAATTTCCTCCTTCAGCATCAAAGGTCACACTGACAAGAATGACAGAGTTACTGATTGACTTCAACAGGAAGCTGGAAATATTACAGGAAAATATTCAGCTTTATCCTCTCAAAGATCATTTTAGTCTGCAGGGAACGCACACAAGAAGGCATCAATTTCAGGACGGCGAGGCGGCTAACAGCGCTAACCCCGCTAATCCTGCTGATCATTAATAAAAGATTTTAAATAAGTTAAAACTAGGGGTGTCCTGATAACAACATACTGGATACCAACCAGATACCATTTCAGCACTGATCACACAAACCTTTTTTGTGTTTTTTTGTAGTGTGGCATTTTTGGAGGTTTGGTCAAGTGATATTTCTTAAACAGAAATAATCGACAAAAACAGCATGCATGAAAAAAACGGACCCATTTATTTATACTCAATGGGTTACAGAAACTTCAAACAAAATCTAATGGAAGCTAAGGACGTCCTATTCAACACTGATTTTGGAAATCTGTTTGATATCAGAAAAATAGCAAATATCGTATAATGTTGGCCTGGATCAATCAATCCAATAAGAGCATGCTAACTGAAACATTCTGTTTCTGTTTAGCTTACACACAACCAACTAAGTAGTAAAAATAGATATGATTTGGTCCGATAACATATCCAGGGCTCGATGGTAACCATCGCCCGATCGCCCGGGGCAAGTAGTTTTTATTGTTGGGAGAGAACTAATTTCACTGCATTTGCCCACCGGGCAAGTACAATGATCGCAAAAAAAAATTATTTATCACTCAAAATTACTTTAAAATCACTGACATTCGCTGAAAACGACCCACAAGCGTTGCCGGCGCCATTTTTGTTGTTTTGTACACATTCTCGCGTAATTTGAAAGAGCTAAACATGTTAAATTGGTGAGTAGTAGTTAGGGGTGTAAATAATAATCGTTTTGTGTCGATGCATCAATCCAACAGCCGACGATCCGATGCATCGATACGTCCGCAAGAGAATTGATTCATGTTTTTTATTTCCCTCTGGTCTATTTTTATCCATTTTGCTCCTGGGTGTAAATCCCTCCCGTGCTGCGGTGGCGCTAAACCTATTTTGCCCTCCTACCGCGCTTCCTGGTTATATTCTTACAGCAGTGTGTTGCAGTGAGCTTGATGCAGACATTTTTAAATTATGCTCAATATTGAAGCGTGGTCTGCGCTACACGCTGTGGGTCTAGATACGGCCAAGGCGGCGAGGAAGCAGGTGCGAGTTTAGTCCGACGACGGAGGGACATGAGGGCCAAAAAGAGCGGATAGCTAGGTGGAAAAAGGGTAACAGCGTTCTTGCGCACCTCGCTCTTCTAGCGGGTCAAACTTCATGAGTATTTTTCCACAATTTTGGTCATAAAAACAAAACAAGCCGGCCTCCTTGTCTGCGGCACTGTCTGCCGTCAGCTACAATTTGGGAGAGGAGCAGCGGAGCGTCTGTGGAGGGGGCGGGGCGTCTGGAGCCGAGGTATTGCATTGAACTCATTACACTGATATTGTGCAGTATTTTTGCAGTATTTTTTGATGCAACTTTTCTACTTCTGTTATTTGCTGTT